AGGTCACAGGCACAGCGTGCTTTGAAAATAGCATCTGGGCAGCGAGCCTCCGACCCGTTCCCGCCACCGCGAAGTTCCATACGGATAACCCGTCGCCTCTCGTTGTGCTCGCCCTCCGCAAGGGTGCCCGCCCCGTAGATGCCGGCAAGATCCAGAACTGGCAACCGATTCCCGCCGATAAGGCAATGACCTTCGAGACAACAGTTGGAGAGAAGATGATCCTGCGCATCGAGCCAGAGGACCCCCGCGAAGACGAGTATGAATCGCTCTTCGCCAACAAGTCTTCTAAGCGGAAACATGATGGCGGCGACTACTCACGCGACCACCACCGACACAACCCCTATAACGGCCGCAATGAGCGCCGCGATTTCCATTCTGGGCGAGGAGGCGGTGGCCGTGGTGGTGGTGGTGGTGGTGGTGGCTTCCGCGGCGGTGGAGGAAGAGGTGGCAGAGGCCGCGGCAATGGTAAGGGCGGCCGTGGCGGACGTGGCATGCACGGCTACCGCTCCCTCGACGACGTCGAGCCCCGAAACCAGCAGGGAGGGTACGGACAGACTGTCGAGTATGACGACAACAGCTATCCGTCCCTCCCAGGGCAGCAGCAAGGCGGCTTCCAGGGGGGTCAACAGCAACAGTACCAACCTCCGCTTAGCGCGTGGAGCTCGGGTCCTCCGCCGAACGCCCCCACGGGCCCAGCTGGTCGTCCCATGGGCGGCGGCGGCGGTGGCGGTAACTACGGAGGTGGTGGAAACGCTGGCAACAGCAACGATCTCCAGAGCTATTACTAGAAGGAATACTCTCGGAAATGAGTCCGCTAAGCAATTGTTTTGGGGCGGCGGTTCAAGAACAAGCTTCTATCCAGTTTTGGGGGATCATAAGCTTTGCCAGTCGTCGCGTAAATGGGGATGGCCAACCTTCTGAGTTCTGCTGTATGTTCGAGAAAACACAAAAAGTCGGGGGTATCACAGGGTGATGGATGGGGCCGGAGTTTTCACATCTTTCTGGGCCAGGTTTCAGCTCGGCGTTTTTGGAGGGCTTTATGCTTTTTGATATGATACCTTTTTAGTCGCCTTGCAATACAAGCAGGTCATCTCATGCTCTTTTCGCCATCTCTGACGTGCCCGTGATGCTTGGTCTATGAGACACTGATAGGTCCACTTTGTTGTTTAACGTATTCTTTAATTCTTATTCAACCATAACTTTTTGGCCAAGTCCTGGACCCTGCTCACGAGTCCGCTGCAGTGTACAACTGTGCTATGCAAGCCATCCACTCTCTACGCCAGGCATATAACACTCGTTGATGGTTCGAGTCCGTTTTCTTCCTCTGTCTCTCTCTCCTCTCTCTCCCTCCTACACTTGCCTAATCACAACTCCCGAGACGTAGTCCGAGATGCCAACACCTAGTCGTCATCCTCTTCCGAATCATCGTCGTCCTCCTCATCAGCATCCTCCAACCACTCAACGAGGACCCGGCACTTCTCCTTGAGCGCCGCCATGCCCTCGCCCCCGCCCTCCTCGGCGCGCTCATCCTCCCACCAGGCCAGGATGCCGTCCTCCTCGAGAACGTCCAAACCATACAGCTGCTGCAGCATGGCGGCGAGCAGCACGCCGGCGCGCGCGTGCTCGAGGTTCCGGCACCCGAGCAGAGCGCGCTGCAGCGCGAGGACGAACTCGACCTGCTCCGTCTCGCCGCCGCCGACGCCGACCTCGGATACGAATTTTGAGGCACCCTTGTTGGAGTTGAAGGTCTTGTCGGCGGCCTTTGCGGGCTCGAGACCGCCGTGCTCGGGGTCGAGGAGCTCTGCGGCGCGGCGGGCAAAGGCGATGGCAACAGCCTTACGCATGGCCACGTCCGAAGCGTCGTTGGCGAGGCGGAGACCCATGAATTCGAGCTTGGCGGAGTCGAAGTCGCCTGATTCGGCGCGGAGGGCATCGAGGAGGCCGTGGACGGCGTCGTGGTGGAAGCCTGATTTGCCTTGGGAGTCGTCTGAGACGAACGAGTCTGCGCGGTTGCGGGAGTCGGCGGAGAATTGGGTGATGCCGTCGCCGGCGTCCGAGTCGTCGTCGTCGATGTCGGAGGAGAGGGTTGAGACTGTCGAGGTGGAGAGGTTGAGGTGGGCGAGGTTGTAGAGGAGAGAGCGCTGGAGGGTGGAAGGGTCCTCGTCGTCCATGTCCTCGGCCTCTGGGTCGACGTAAGGGGCGCCCTTACCTGAGGGCCCAACGAGTGACTTGTCGGGATTGACGGGCGTGCCGTTGTGTGTGGTGACTGCGAGGACTGTGGCCTCGGGAATCTTGCTGTTGTCGCTGAGGACAACGCCAAAGGAGAGGAGGGAGCCGGCAGCGACGACCGAGCCCTTGCCCACGATGCTTGAGTCGGCTAGGATGGAGCGCGTGATGACCGTATCATCTTCGATTACGGCGTCGTCCCAGATGAAGCTGTTTTCGATGCGAACGTTATTGCCGATCTTGCACCGCCTGCCGATGATGCTGTTTGATACCGTGCTGCCGGCGCCCACGGTGGCTCCCTGGCCGAGGATTGACCTGGTAATCTTGCTGGTGGGCGCCATCACCGTTCCGTCCTCAACGCAGACTGCACCGCTGGTCATCTTGTACGTCTGACCGGGAATGACGTTGCAGTCGGGAACGAACGGGAATGTCCAACGGCCGAGGACATCTTTGCTGATTGACTCGTACATTTGGAGGTTGCTCGCGCGCGCTGCGTAGCCGTCATCGAGGACCTCTGCGTAGATCGCCTTGCCGTTCAGCTCCCAATCTTTTAGGACACCATGCAGAAAGTTTCGCCTCGGAAGCTCGTAGTCGAAACTCTCGGACCACAGCGCCAGCACTTCGGGAGTACAGATATCGATACCCGCATCGATCAGGTCGCCCCGCATCTCAAAATCGGTCGAGAGCTCGTCAATCACGGCCGGGTCGAGGGTGAGGTAGTGGTCGCTCTGGAGGGGATGTATCTCGTCGTAGTGTAGGCACCGCTTTGTCTTTGAGTCGATCACGAAGACGGGGTTGATTCCGTTGGGCTTCGTTCTGTGCTCCTCCGCGCCGCCTGATCGCAGGACCACTGTCATGATATTCGTCGCCGCGGCCTCCTTGCGCGCCTTATGTGCCGCCAGCGCGCTGTCAAGTGAGATGTTGGATACCACGTCGCCGTGGACCACAATGAAGTCGCCGTCCATAATGCCACGTCCGTCGAGGTCACGGAGGAAGTCGCCGATTGAGCGGGCATCGGATACGCGGATGAACTGCAGGCTCGTAAACGGAGTTCGAATGGACATGGGGGACCATCTTGATGTGTTGATGTAGTTCTCGATCTGTTCGGAGTGGGAGCCGCAGTAGATGTAGACCTCCTGGACGCCGTTCATAGCGAGGAACTCGAGGGTATACTCGATGAGGGGCGTGTTCGCAAGGGGTAGAAGGCACTGCGGGCGGGCGGTTAGTCGCCGTCGCATAGCTCCGGGATATGTTCAGGACTTACTCTTGGCTTCTCTGCTGAAAAAGGAGCGAACCTATCTTGGAAGGAGTCGGCGATGAGCTACGATGGGCGAAAAGGAAAGCCACCAGGTTAGCCAATTCAACACCCATTACCGTGCCTGCCCCACCATGACGCTTCAGACTTACCACAGCCTGCAGGACATCCTCGCGCTTGCCCTCACCTCCAGCCTTGCCGGACTTTTTGCCTTTGCCAGCGGCGGCCTTTCCCTTTTGCTGCGACATCGTGTGCTAAGGTGGATCGCAAGGGCGTGGGTGGGCGCTTTGGGGGATTTATTGTGTTGGTCGCGGGGTGGTGAGTCAAAGTCCGGTCGCAAGCTTGGTAGTTGGAAATTTAAGGTGAGTGACTCAACGGCTCCGAGGCGGGGTGGGCCGTGCGGTAACCCTCTTTCGGTCTGTCTCGGTGAGGAGCTTCACCGAATATTCCGCTGCAACAAACTCATCTCATGACTATGATATTACCCGATAATACGGCGGCACATAGTTGTATGATTCAGCTGAGAATTTCTACTGGTTACTATGGCACATAGTCTCGCAGAGACCACAGCTTTCACATTTGTATGATTGATATGAACTCACCAAATACCAAATGAGGCCAAGAGAAAAAGGGGTTCATAATATATTGACTATCCACCAATTACACGTGAGTACCTGTTGAAATATGTGTGGAAGATGAAGCATAACAATTCAGTCGTATCTATTGTATAAAAATTCATCTCAAACTCAAGTACACATTGAACAGCTTGACACAGTTCTCTTTGAGAACCCTTACGCATTTTCCTTCATGACTTTTGGGAGGGTGAAGCATAGTTTCTATGTTGGCTTCAGGATGCGCCTATATGATGGCCGAATTACAGTCTAGGCGAATAGCTATGTTTTCGAAACAATAGCTGGCCTATGTCATAAAAGACGGGGACACACGCAAGAGCAAGAAATAGCAAGGCTGACAAAACAAACTTGTGGTAGATCATGCCGATAGCTAGATAGATCGATAGTGAGCTTAAGTAGGTGGTCAACCTAGCGAGAGCCTACGGCAGACTAAATTCTCACATTCATAACTACTTGAAATGTCTGACAATAGGAATGCGGACGAGTCTAGACTTTCTAGGGAATGAAATAGTACGATATTAGAGGAATCAACATGGCCTTCGCATGGACTCATGGTAGAATTTACATAGACTTTCAATCATGAAAAATACGTATCTCTGGTTACTGAAGCTCCATGAATGAGTTTGTTGACGGTGTCAAGACATCCAGGAAATGAACTTGGGCACAGCGTGGTTCTGACTGCCATGATGAATAAAGATTTCATGAAGTAGAGTATCTAGCTCATTAGCCAACGAAGTTGGCACAACCGTAACGAAGCCGTGTTTCTGCTGAGTGAGATAATCACAAAGACCAAAGACCTCAGCACCATCTTTTGCCTATCTCCTTCAGCTATTCTGGAAGCTGCTTATCTCCAGACCCCACCCAGACGAGACAAGCTCACTGCATGCCTAGTAGTCCACCAACCAGGGTTTGTTGTTTTCACCGTGGTGATCCATGATTGCTGCATTGACGAGTAATGTCTCGCGTGCCTCCTTCTCTGGCGCCATGATGATATTCCCCTCCTTGATGACTGGATCTGCAATGCTTTGTGTCCCGTTGGCATGCCATTCGACCACTTGGGATCCGTAGCCCTCGTGGAGATGGCCGAAGCAGTGGAGTCGTGGGCGAATGCGTTGCACCGCCTTCCACAACTTTGGGCAGCCACAATGGGCGCCCTTGCCGTCGAGGTCGAGGCGGTAGTCTTCGCCTGGGACCTGTGGTGGGCCGTGCGTAATCAGAATATCGACTTCCGAGGAGATTGGCGTCGGACCGCGGACCGCTTTGCCCAGGTCTGAGAGTGTTGTTTCGGCCGGATTGAATCTGTCTTCATTCGCACCGTATGAGAATGCGTATCCGTTGAACTCGGGTGTGTAAGGCGAGGCATATAGAGTGAAGGAACGCCCGTCCTTGAGAGTGAATGAATGGTATCCTTCGCTCAAAAGATTGATTCCAGATTTGTTGAAGAGATCAATCGCTTTTTTTGGCTCTTCGAGATCGTCGTCTTCATCTGCATTGTCGGCCCACCATGTGGGATCCAGAGACACATCGTGGTTTCCGGGAATCACGAGCTTGAGTTCAGCGTCGCAACTCAAAAGGCTTTTGATGGCAGCTTTGTAGTTCGACATGCCGCCGATCATAGTTAGATCGCCACAGTGGAGGACAACATCTGCCGGAGGAAGCTCCGATGGGAAGGCGGAGTCGTGGGTGTCTGACAGAACCAAAAAACGAATACTGGAAGTCGCCATTTTGTTATTGAGCGATATGAGTGGGTCGAGGGTGTGATAGTTGAGTTGCATCAAAGTTGGAATGAGAGACGTAAGCCTTGTGTAAGGGTGGCAAGTTGATTGAGATTCGGTAGAATTCTAGGGGGATGGTCGACTTTATGTAGTTCAGATGGGAAACTCAGAAAACGAGAGAGGGTTCAACCTTTCGGAGATACGTATTAAGAAGGTGGCAAAGGTTTCCATACTTCTATGAATCCACGGTTAAGGATGGTCCTCAAGGTGTCCGAGCAGATTAAAATTCGATAAGGTTAAGAAGGATTCTCGTGTGCTTTGCTTGTTCTTGCAAATATCGTGAATAAGTCAGTACCCGGCGGTCCAGTATAGTGAATCCTTCATCTTGCTACATTCTAACCTCTACTTACTGTAGTCACCTTATACTGAGGAGAATGTTCCAATCTTGACAAGCGGGAGATCGTGTGAAGTAGTGGTTCACAGAAAGTATGTAAGAGAGTGAATCACTCAATTATGCGCTACTCTTTTCATAGACAAGGCTCTTAATCAGAGACTGAAATCAAATGATCACTTGACCCGGATTGCATGAACTGAATCAGTAGTACAAAGTGAAGTTTGCTATTCGGTTACTATCCAGACTATCTTTCGGAACAGCAAACACCATGGCATCTACTCTAGAGACTCCCGGCTCTCCTCAAAGCCCTAGCACTGTCCGCACTCCCAAACGGAAATCCATCATTGGATATTTCGGGGACATGAGCTTGGGTGAAGATGAGAAGGGCGGCTCTTCGCTTGAACCTGAATCTCCGACGAAGAAGTCTAGATCTGAAGCTATCCGTTCTCTTGAAGTTCTTCGATCGTCAACATCAAGCTCAAGCGTCAAGAAGTCATTGCTTCGTGGGACTTTTCGATACAGCTGGCCGCCTACCATTAGAGGCAATCAAACCTTGAAGTCAAGCAGCTCCTCCTCTCAGCCAAAGTAAGTACCATTGGAAATTGAATTGCTGGAGATGCAATTTCTAAATTTTGTTTGCAGAAATCCAAACCTTACTCTGAGAATGAGTGATCTTTACCGTGTTTATGGAGACAATTGGGCTATGGACCCCAAGGTTGAAGACCAACCTGTCGACGTTTCTGAGCATTTCTCGGTTGTTACCAGAATCATGGACGAGGTAAAAGAGATCTTGGGGAAAGCAAAGAATGGAGGAGACGACATCGCGAGTTTTCTCCTGCAGCAGATGGCAGAGGCGGTTTACTCCTCCAATGTAAAGTCCAGAAAGGGCTTGGGCCTTGATATCACCATGAAGATTTGCATGATGATATTCGAAGGCAACGCAGGCGTGGAGTACACCGAGCGGTAAGCAAAAGTATAGCTTGCACTATCTTGAAGACATTTTACTAAGACATCTTATAGAACAGAAGAGTACCAGGTTCGGCTTGAAGCACTAGTACGGAAAGACGTACCTCCTGGCGAGCACCAGGTACTTCGAAGCCGGAGGGAGATTGTTCAGCATGCTGCTGCATTTCAACACATCATCAACCAGTTCGTCCGTGAAGGAAAGCCAATGACCGAGCAACTGATCAAAGACACACACGCTATACTCGTCAAAGGTGTTAGTGGCGAAACTGCCGGCATACTCAGTAGCAGAGAGTTTGGTGGTATCTACCGCACCGAAGACGTTTTCGTGGGCACTACCAGATTTATCCGCCCGAACAAGATCTCCGAAGCCATGAACTCGATGATCCTGAACCTTCAACAGCACTTGATAGCGTCTGAAAGATCACAATCGCTCGATCCCTTTGCAACAGCTGCACAGTATTGCGATCGGTTCGTCAATATTCATCCATTCCGAGATGGTAACGGGCGCATGTGCCGGCTCATTCTCAACGCAATCCTCATCAAATACGCTAGAATCGTTGTTAATGTTGGAGAGCATGGGCAAGAGAGAGACGAGTACATTCAGACAGCTCGTGAAAGCAGAGAAGTTGGTGGTCATGGTGGTGCTTTAGCAACGATGGTTTTGAAGGAGGCCACCAAGAGCTACCTGAAAATACGCAACACGTTGAGACACAGACACCGGGAATAGGCCATAAGAACCTGCAAGCAACTGTGTAAAGAATTCACACTGCATTTTGGGCAGCTGTACTTTGAATAGGAGAGAATGTGAGGAATCTGAAAAAGATGATACTGCTAGCCACTTTCACGGCGCCGCAAGGCCCAGACTGCATCCAGCAAGATAGGTAGAAGGCCGTCCGACGAAATTATGACCCGTCCCTTTCAAATATTTTATGCCTCTTCATACTCACTCCGTCACGCACGGTTCATCCTCGTATCCAAAAATCAGACCACTTACACGGATTTAAAACCCCAGATCCCGGAGTAAACCACCCGAAGGCCAAGATCGAACCCCTTGGCCCAGCACGTCAACATACCAAACAAAGTAAAACGCCACTGCATGCCGAGGCCTACCTACTTTTTGCGGCTGATGCATGCAGTATGGTAAGAAGGGAAATGGTCCACGGCAATGGCACGTTGAAACGGCTGATAAGTTTTGTTTCCCAATCATCAACCATCGGGGTTGGTCCGGTTGGTGGTCCAGACCGTTACACCAAAGGGAGGAAGTTGATTGGAACTAAGCGGCTTTGTATGATTGGCTCTAGTTACGCCCATCTCACCTCCGAAGATGTGCATGATACTGCATGCTTGCTTTGTGTACGAGGCTAGTCTGTTTTTTGACTGGAGCCCTCCCTTTTGTTTTTCACCCTATGGGTATGTTACCCGTATTTATTCGTTCTAGCCGAGAATTTAGGCTCTATGACCGTCGGATGATATGGGAAACCCCCAAAGCAGGTCGGAGAATCGCATGTTCTCCAATTGGTTTTTTCTTCTTTCTTCAGGCTTGGTGGAGACGTCGATGGTTAAATTATCACGAATTTCCAGACCCTGAATCGATGGCTTGCCATAGTCTCATATTTGGAAGAAGGAGAATCTGCATGACGGCAAGACTTAAATTCCTTACATGTAGAACCAGAAGAGAGTTTGGGGTCGCATTGAGACATACTGATACGAGTAACAGACTAGAGGAAGCATCACAAACTCGTAGGGTCGCTAGCAAGTCATCTTACAAGGGAACCGAAGCGCCAAAAGATCAAGAGTCGCCCACAGGTGTTTGTCCATGATGTAAGATCTAGAGCGGTTTATGCAGTCTGACTTTGATACGGCCGTGTGACAAGCGACCTGCATATGACCTGGTCTATCCTCATGTTGTCTTTTTCGAGCAACTTCCTTTCGATGCAAAAGTTGTATAGCAGATGTCAAAGTGTATGTCCTCTACAATGGTCCTCTCGAGTCCTGACTCCGGAGAGAAAGGTTTGGACTACCTACCTTGGCGCAACCCAGAGGCAGGCGGCCAGCATTCAAAATGTGAAACTTGATCCAATCGCATGCTTCTCTGCTGGAACTTCATGGTTTTCTGCTTGCCGAATAAACCAGTTGATGGCGAAGCATCCCCAAGACGTTACACAACATGCCTCTGATTAGACGAAAACGGCCCTCTTCACTATGATCGAATACCAAACGTCCACACCACGTTTACACGTGCAGGTGCAGAATGGAAGACGGTATGTTTCCGATACCTTTCTACTAATGGGTACCGAGGCGTTTGGGGAGGTAGGCAGTGACAATACACGATTTATTGCGAGTGACTGACACCTGTCTCGTAAACTGTCACCGAGAGACCCGTATGGCTTGGAAAATGCCATCCTCATTTAGGCTAGACGATCAGGTCATCGATGAATCTTTCACCATTAGGGTATCTATCTCTTTGCTTTTTTCTTGTTTCTCATTTCGTAGAGGGGTACCTATCTTTTGTTTCTCATGAACTACCTTAGGATCTCGCACTCTCTAAACCCTTACGTGGCTGGCGGAAGACTTGGGAGAAGTCCGTTGGAAGACCCAGATGGCAATAGGTACCGAGGTAGGCAGGCAAGACACAAGCCATCAATTTTCAGGGCCGAAATGTGTTTTAATGATATGGAGGGATATTGAGTGTATGTGACAAATGGGATGCTGTACCATAGTACCGAATTCCCCCTTCCTCAATCCTGCCATTGGCTTGGGTAGAATCCTCGCCACATAGAACGCACAGAAATTGCTTTGTGAGTTCAAGCAAGCAGATTTACTCTCACAAGTTCAGGAAGGGGGTGAAAGAGGCCGGCGGGAGATTGCCACGGAGATTTCTCCGGTTCTCCAGGGCCACACCCACCCGGGCTATCCAGCCAGCCTCAAACACAAGACACTTGAGTGATAGCCCAAGACCCATCCCCCACGAGCTTGTTTTGGGTGGGACAGGCAGCACCGGCGGGCTGGTATTCGGAGTGAATCTGCGGCTGGGTACGTTTTCTTGGCTGGAACATGCTCACCCCTTTTATTGATGAGAGCCTGAGAGGTACAAGAACCCCGAACAGACCTGAACTAGGTAGGCAGAGAGAGGGATTTCGACATTGCTACTTTCAAGGAGCTGACCCCGGCCCGAGGCCCACTACATAAGCATTTTCTAATCCTCCATCACATCTCAGAAAACCATCGCCAGTATGCTACGTCTGCGCCAAGACGATGAACGACGGCAAAGGTTCTAGGCAAACGTGTCTTAGTCTATCCAATCTTGTTCCCTCTACTCGGCATCGAATTTTCCAATAAACCGGTTCTCTTGGTTTTGCCGCCTTTTTTTTTCTTTCGCCGCGCTCTCTCTACCTGCAGTACAAGCCCCCTGACCATATCCAGCACTACAACATAACCCCGGCCTCAGAAAAACTACAAGAAGCAACAGTGAGAAACAAATCCTCCGCCCCGAATCAGACCAAAAAAAAATTAAAAAAAGAACAAGAAGAAAAGGTCTAGACCGATCCGACAAGAAAAAGGGCTGGGCCCAGGCCGCTGCAAGTTCCCGTGGAAGGCGGTTCGCATACATCTGTAAGTGCCTTTGTGCGTGTAAGTGTGTGTCTGCGTG